TCCAGTTATATGAAGGGTATCTTTAAAAAATTAATACAAGTGGCATTGGATATATTTAAAATAATTAACATTTGAATTTATGTGTGTATCTGGTTTTAAAGGTTTATCTTCACAGGGGAGTTGCTCTTGAAATCAAAATGGTGGATTATATTCAGTTCTAATTCTTATATTCACAGATGATCATTAGTACCACAGTCCTGTGCTTTCTCACTGTTGAATTTCCTTCATCCCAGGACCATCCACAGGACCTCCCAGCTAACCCAGGGTACAGGGCACAGTTCAAGAAAAGGAGACAAAAACCGATGTAATTACTGTGCCTTGTGTTACTCAGTTAAGTTGCCAAAGGGAAGCCATGATCTTTACCTTTCATTTCTGCCTGATTAATGAGCATTCTGTTTGTGTGGTTTTTTTTTTTCCCTCTGGAATCAAGCCTTTATTTGACAAACTTGTTTCTTATGTTCAGAGACTTGAGACCCAGGAGCAAACATAGTTCAGGGTTAAAGTCTTCAGGGACACCAGACACTTATAAAATCTTCAGCATGCTCCAAAGCAACCTTGGTGGGGGGCTTCTGCAGATCTCTCCACACAGGTAGGTTCCATCAAATATAAGTGGTGTATTTTCCTTTCCAGGTGACTCAACTATCTTCCTACACATTGCTCAGTGATAACTGTGGTGATAGAACTTAAACAATTATTTCTAACCTTTCTGTTGGTAGATGAAATTGCTTGAGTATGCAAACAAACGAATAAACTTCCCTCTTTGGGGTTTCTGCATTGTTCGTGATAGGAAACTACGATGAAAATATTTCTGGGTTTCAGTAATCAGTCTCTGTGTCCAAAGCAGGCACTAGGAGACATGTGGTCATTCAACATTTATCTGAAACATAATACATGTCTAAAAAGTATATGAAAAATTCCATGGGCTTGGGATATGGCTCAGTGGTAGAGCACTTACATAGCCTGCCTGAGGCCCTGAGTTGTATCCTCAGTGCAAAAAATTAATAAATAAAATTAATCCCATGGTAAAAAGCAATGGAATATAATTTATAAATTATCTCAGAAGTTAATTAATAATTAATTTATAGTATAATTTCTTATTCAAATTTTGTCACAGTTGGAAATGAAATGGGATATTAAAATGATTAACATTAGTTATTATATATATTTTTAAACATTTAGTTACTACCAATTTTATTGTATTACTAGACCTATAAAATAGTTTTACTAATGACTAATTTGAAAAAATGTAGAAAATTAAATTAGCTCAAGCACAAATACTAAGTCAATAAGACTGTGAGGGGGAAAAAAAAAAAAACAGGAGAAATCTGGTGCTATTCTAAGAACTATTTCAGTAGAGTGTACTCACTGCTACTGAAAAGCAACCCTGGATTTGCCATCAGTCATATTTCAGTAGAGGAAAGAGTTAGCAATAGGTAAGGACATTAAATGTGTGCAGACACTGTCTGTTCACAAAGCTAACTGCATAGGTTTATAGAACAGTCAGAAATAGGTGTTTATGATGTTTTTGATTGCTAAGTTAAGGATGCATTTACAGAATGCATCCCATGTGAGGGCAAACAATGCACAGTCACTTATGAGTAGAGAGACAGGAGGTAGGTTGGTCCATGTCCTGTTGTCACAGTGCTTTCTGCCTTAAGCCCACTCTGTATTCTTCAAGAACATGCAGTTTTGAGACACAGCAGTAGGAGATATGGGAGAACTGGTACAATTCAAATTACAGCTTCTCAGATTCACCATGTGTTGAATGAAGTGTCTATATCAAAACAAACACGCTGCAGATTTAAGAGAGAATATGTTTGCAGGACAGCATGTTTTATTAATGTTAAATTTGTAGCTAGATATGACTCTGAGTCTTGATCTTCATTTTCAATTTAACTGACATACAATGTCTACATATATTTATGGGGTACAATGTCAAAATTATAAGCACATATACAATAAATAATGATTGAATGGTAATTATTGTTTCAGTCTCCTGAAACACTTAACATTTTTAAAAATAATTTCACATGTTTTGGTGCATTATGGGTGTGCATATTGATGGGATTCATTATTACATATTCATACACACATGCAAGACAACAGTATTATTTAACCAATATCACTCCCCAGCACTTTCCTCCTCCCTTCTCCTCTCTCAGACATTGGTCCATTTCCTCTAAGGACCTCTCTTTGATTTTCATGGGATCAAACCCACCTTTCTTTTCCTAACATTTAACATTTCTTTGTGTTTGCAAATCTTCTAGATGTTTTCCTCTTTTAGCTGTTTTGAAATCCACTCAATTTTTAAAAAATATACAAAATTATAATTCACTTGCTCTACTTGAAGGGAGAGGGCTGAGATTTATAAAGCAGATGATCTGTGTCCAGAATTATGCTAAGAATTTTGAAGTCAATACCTCATTTTTATGCAATTAAAAAATTGTGAAAGCCCTCAGTAAGAGATAATACATTACTATTGTTAAAACAAAGAACCACATTAAAATTATCTAAAGCATGTTAATAATAATGACTGTAGTTACCATTGATTTTGTATACATGCCAATAGATATCCCTTGTCATATTTAATTTGCAAATTATAAGAGCACAACTACTTGGTAATTAGTTATACTAGTAATTGTATAAAATCCAGCTAACTAGGACTGGGGTTGTAACTCAATGGTAGAGCACTTGTCTCACTGGGTTTGATCCTCAGCACCACATAAAAATAAATAAACAAAATAAAGATATTGTGTCCATCTACAACAAAAAAATTAATAAAATTTAAAAAACTCAGCTAGCTAAACAAATACATAAACAAAACCACACTAAACATACTAAAAAAGTTATAAAACCACAAAGTTTAAACAGTATCTTCATCTAATATTGTATAAATATTTGTTAAGTGATTTTACATCACTGAGTTTCAATTTTATCATCAGATGTAAAAACAATTGTACATGTGTTCTTGAGCACTCCTGCATAAAAATGAGGTATTGACTTCAAAATTCTTAGCATGATTCTGGTCACAGATGATCTGCTTTATAAATCTCAGCCCTCTCCCTTCATTATTTTATACAAGCAAATCAGAGGAATCAGACTTTAGCAAATAAAACTGTAAAAAATTAAAAATTTAAGATAGACTTTTAACAATTTATGTGGAACACCTAGCCCTTCTATATATTGAAAAGTGCTCATATATTTATAGTAGAAGTATGGCTGGGATTGTGGCTCAGTGGTAGAGAACTGGCCTTTCACATGAGGGGCACTGTGTTTGATCCTCAGGGCCACATAAAAATAAACAAATAAAATAAAGGTATTGTGTCCATCTACAACAACTAAGTAAAAGTAATAGAATAAAAGAGTTTTTAAAACAAAAGTAAATAAAGTATTGAGGTTTAAGCCTTTTGCAGACAGTTGTAAAATAATGATGTAAAAACAATGATGTTGCAGCAATTAATAAGGAGAAAAGGAAATGTTGAAATTCTCCAGGTCGATTGATGACAAGCGTAGCTTGACTAGGACAACTGTGGAAGCCAAAGAAAGGTAACTGGCGGTCATTTTGGTTCAGTGACTTCTTAAAGGGCACTCAGGAAAAACATGTAGGTGTGGATATACATATACACATACACATATATTCATCAAGTTTGATGCTTATATCACTAATATTTGCATTATAATAATCTCACTGACTCAAGAGACTGAAGCAGGGGAATTGAAATTTCAAAGCCACCACTGTGTTCTGTGGGACACTCCTTTTCATGTATTTGTGTGTGTGTGTGTGTGTGTGTATGTGTAAATAATGTGTATGTGTAAATAATGTGTATGGGTGCGCATGTGTAAATAATGAGCAAATAAATTGTTTATCCATACAGATTTAAGAGACTCAGTTGTGTCTGGTGGGTTTGTGTTTCTGAGATTTGGAAAAGACTCGATGAAAAGCAATTAAGTATTGAAACATTTAAAGGTTTGCCAATCAAAATAAAGAATTAAATTATACACTTAAAATTCTAGCATGAAACAGAGAAGGTGACTTTTATCTTTCCATTTTTCCCATTAAAGACAAACACAACAAAATAAATGGCTTCTGGAAATCTCACCCAAGTGACTGAATTCATTCTGATGGGAGTCTCAGACCGCCCAGAGCTGCAGATTCCCCTCTTCCTGCTCTTCTTGGTCATCTACGGGCTCACTGTGACAGGGAATCTGGGCATCATCACCCTCACCAGTGTTGATTCTCGGCTTCAGACCCCTATGTACTTCTTCCTCCGACATCTGGCTGTCATCAATCTTGGCAACTCTACTGTCATTGCCCCTAAAATGCTGGTCAACTTTTTAGTAAGTAAGAAAACCACCTCATACTATGAATGTGCCACCCAACTGGGAGGATTTCTGGTTTTCATTGTAGCAGAGATTTTCATGCTGGCAGTGATGGCCTACGACCGCTATGTGGCCATTTGCAACCCTCTGCTCTACATGGTGGTGGTATCTCGGCGCATCTGCCTTCTGCTGGTGTCCCTCACCTACTTCTATGGCTTTTGTACAGCTATTGTGGTGACACCTTGTGTGTTCTCTGTGTCTTACTGCTCATCCAACATAATCAACCATTTTTACTGTGATAATGTCCCTTTGTTAGCACTGTCCTGCTCTGATACCTACATTCCAGAAACAGTGGTGTTTATCTTTTCAGGGACAAATCTGTTTTTCTCCATGATCATAGTTCTGATATCCTACTTCAACATTGTCCTTGCCATTTTGAGAATACGTTCCTCTGAGGGTCGACAAAAAGCCTTTTCCACCTGTGCTTCCCACATGGTGGCCGTCACTGTGTTCTATGGGACGCTCCTTTTCATGTATTTGCAACCAAGGACCAACCACTCATTGAACACTGACAAAATGGCTTCAGTTTTCTACACGCTCGTGATTCCAATGTTAAACCCTGTAATTTATAGTCTAAGGAACAAAGATGTAAAAGATGTTTTGAAGGGATTCCTACATGGTCCATGCAAATAGTTCAAACCAATGTAAATTTAGAAGTACGACTAACTTACTTGTTTTTGTTTCCTCCCAAAAAACACTGCTCTTTAAACAACTTGCGGTAAATGATTAGAAACTTCATTTATCTCAGTAAAAAAATTTTAAATTGTCCTCATCCCATCTTTAATAACCCAAACAGGAAAAAAAAAGTATGCATGTAATAAATATTAATTATAAATGAAGGGAATTTTAAATTAAATGTGAAATACTAAAAAGGTCTTATAATTTCTAAATAAGTCAGAGATAGGCTGACTGTAGGGGGTAGAGGTTGGTGACAATAATTTCTTGGAAAAGAGACAAATCTGAGATTACCCTCTTTACAAGAGAAACCTTTACAAAACTACTAAAGATAATATTTTATATTTGCAGAATTTTCTTCA